GAAGCTAAACTTTATTGAATTGTGGCTAAGGAAAGGATGTTTGTGTTTCTTATGAATTATGTGCTGTACATGAGCACTTCAGTAGACTTAAATTCTTTTCTTAGTTAATTAACTAGTCAGCAAATCCATGACATTGTCTCACTTTTAGTCCTGCATATAGCTTTACAAATTGCAAATAATTTTATATACTGGGGTTTCTCTTCAGAAGTGTTCATGGTTTATCAGTTTTTAACATTGAATGCTTGTGTATTTTGTGTATGACCAGCGAACAGTGTCTGTACTGTACATTTATCACAATGAAAACTTGAAGAGGAATAGCTGCTTGAGCTACTGAACAAGGCACAGTACTTGTTCTCCATTCTACTTAGATTAATTATCATTGTCCCATAGGCATTTTTACATTGCTCTGGTTGGCTGTTTAATATAGTGGAATTGTTGAGAGCTGATGCTATGAGAATCAACCGTAGGCCTTGATGTGGTATATAAATGGTAATTTTAAGGGGCTTAAGATTCAGTCATAACAGTTAGCTCCAGGTTGAAATTTGATGTTTGATGGCAAAAGTCTATTCTAGGACATGTGAAGGAGAAAATGGCCTGTGTCCTTTCTGAGTTATCCAAATGCAAGTTTATTTTGAATAACTCTTCCATTAAGAACTCATTTGCATTTGTTCAGTACCACAGAGACTTTTATTTTTGGGGAAAAAAATTTTTTTTTCTCCTAGTTTCTTCTCTAGACTAGTATTTGTGATAAGAGTTTGTTCAATTTAAGAAAATGAGTTGCTGCACAGGTGAGGTAGTAGTTGAATCACTTAAAAGTTCATGTCAGTGTTTTGGTTCTTTTCAGTTTTTCTTTTCTCTTTTGTTTTCTTTCTTCCTTTTGTTTATTTCTTTATTTTTTGCTTTGTTCTGTTTTGTTTTATTTACTTACTTCTGGTTTTAGTTTTTACAGGGAGTGTTTTGGGCTGGCTCTTCATGGCCTTGCTAACATTCTTGGCTGGCCATATTTAGTCTGCGCACTAATTGTTAGTTGGCCCAGTTGAGTCTTACTTTGTGCTCTCATTTTTTTAGTCTGGTTTTCTATTTTTGTCCACCTGGTGTGTTTTAAGTTCATGAGAGATTTTTATCCTGACGGGCCGGATTTTAATTTGTGAACTAAATTTTAGTCTGCAGACTAAAAGTAATCCGCGGATTATTTATTTTTGCAAAATATTTAATTCCCCCACTGGAAACTATCCTAAAAGAATGTTAAATTCTCTTAGAATAGCCAAGGGAATTCACAGCTACTGGTGAGTTCTGCCATTTTTTTGTTCTCAATACCTAGACATAATAGACCCTGCTACCTCCCTTTTGCATATTTGGCTCCGTTGTGCCTAGGTGTTGGTTTACATTACTTACTATGCATGTCACCTATAACTGTGACTGTCCCTTAGTTGTATTGTTTATTGTATATATTTTTGTTTAGCTTTTGGTGGGTGAATTGGGCATATTACCAGATGGAACTGTGTTGAATTTGTAGTGCTCAGAGATACAGAATTTTTTTCAGTGAGTTTTTCCAAAAAGGAAAGGGTATGAGGGAGCAAAGCCCACAATAGAAAAAGTAAGTTTATACCCGCACTTCTGAGGTGATATGTCAATTTCTTGAAGAGTCCTAAGATAATGAGAATGTCAGTAAATATCTTTTATCAGGGAAGTCAATCCAAAATGGAGAATAATCCGCGGTGGCCTGATCCTTCTTAGCTCACACAAATTGAAAATATCTGGCTTGAAATCTATAAATTAAATAAATTTATCACTTTCCTCTCATCACTAATAATTTAGCAAAAATGTTTATACTGTGTTACTGGAATTCATTAATAGAGAAAAATTAGCATTTTGGGAACTCACATCTTGAAAAGCAGGCTGATATGCCCCTTCCCAGCCATGTCAATGGACAATGAATCCAGGTCATAGAAGACCAAACACTTTACTTTGGGAATTTTACTTCTAGATTTCATTTTGATTTTAACTTTTTTTGGTTTTATATTTTTTTAATAAATGCACTGGCATCAGAACATAATTAAATTAAAATTTAATTTCTTTACTGTGCCTCACCATTGCGCAATCAAATTTTTTTTGCATACACTGTGGTGAAATAATTTTTAAAACTTGGACTTGCTACTGTGCAGACTGATGTTTAAAGTTTATAACTGTATAAACATTTTCTATGTCCCCCCCCCTCCACACCATGGATTTCTTATAACATTGGATATATTTTTCCTTGCTGGACTATTCTCTTTTGGATTGACTTCCCCTGTTTGGATTATTTCACTGCATTCTCATCTTTAGGATTCGTCAGGAACAGGACATTTCACCTCAGGAGTGCGGGTATGTACTTAATTTTTTTTTCCCAAAATTTCAGGGCAGGTCTATAAAACTCGGGGGGAAAACTTTTTTGAAAAGCTAGTTATTCATTCTTGAAATGTAATAATAAAAACAAAGTAGGTAGCTGTGTGGTATAGGTTTTGCTATATTTAGAGTCTCTGTTTCTTGAATGATTTATTGATAACTAAGCTGAAGTTTAGGAGTGGGGTTTGAAAAGTATTTTTACAAGAATAAATATTGACCAAACCCTACAGAACCAAAGATTTCGACTGTTAAAACAATTTAGTATGGAATGAAAAGCAGCAGAAACCTCATTATTAAAAGCCAAGTGACAGTAGTTACTGGTTTCCTTTTCTTTAGACACAAAGATAATTCAGAAAAACTTTCTAGTTTGGCCTATAATTTTTGAAAGTTGCATGCTACCACACCCGTCTTATGGTCAGAAATCTGGACATTGGGTATGCTGGGATTTGACCCCACATAATTTTCTTAACCTTTATCCGTAGATTACTGAACCAAGGCTTTTCTCATCAGGAATCTCTCAAGGGGTTAGAAATAATAATGGGTACTTTTTTAAAAAGGCAGGTTAAGTCTTGATTTTAATGTAGGTTCTTAGAATGAATTATTTTGATTATTTTTCTAACTCTTTGATTCTGTGAGTTAGGGTTCCCTGGCAGAGTAAGCTATTATGTGCCTTAGTACCAACATGGATGGTGACTTTTAGTCAGTAAGAAATCAAAAAAGACGTGGATGATTTTCTTTTTAGTAATCAGAAGTACATTTAAAATACTGATTTATTAACAGATGTAACACAGAATTTTTTCATTTAAAATACACTCACTGTCCACCTATCCTACATTTGAATGTTAAAAGATACTTACTTCTACTTTTGGTGGTGGTACTTTTAATTCTACTTTTGTGCTCCCGTTATTGGTCAGAGGCTTTTTTATTAGACTAGCTAACATTTATAAAATAAATCCATGTGCTGTCAAATAAATACAAACTTCCCTCAGGGGTAAAATAAGTCAGTAGTGCTTAGTATTTTCATAAAAAATTTCTTAATGTTTCCACTGGTTATTTTCTTCTACATTTTGAGTTTGATTATGGTTCTGGCTGGGGAGCAAGAGAGGGGGGAAAGGACCACAAAGAGTGAAAGATGTAAACATTTCAAATAATATAGTACGTTAGTTCCTTGACGGAGGCAAGTCAGATTATTCAAAAGAATAAAGATAAAGCAGCTTGTAACTGTGGAGAGGGTTTTCTAACACAGCCAAATAAATTAACTAAGATCTTTAGTGTTCACAAATAAATTTCTAGTATCCTACTCAAGCCAAGATTTCTCAATTTCCAAGGAAAATGTCTTTATTAATAATAAACTTTGTTTCAAAATGAAAAAAGGATTTTCAGTGTAGAAAGGACTCTTATAAATAGTCTCATAATCTAATGAGTTCTGTCGTAGTAACCAGTTCTCCTGCTTTCAGCCTAGGTGAATAGCCAAATGTTACATGAGCCTTTCTCATTAGGAAACAAGCCTCTCAGACTCCTCTGTGCCTTGTCACGGTCTGCATGTCCTCTCCTCACATGTAGGTCTCTTGCCCTCCATTTTTACACATCTGTTTTCCTTTTTGTGTCTGTCAACTTCCACCATTGCCCCTACTTGAGTCTGTGTTCTTCTGTCAAGGGATATGTGTTTCATTTTTCTTTAATTTCAAAAGCTTTCTGTCCAGATGTTTATGTTTGTTTGTTTTTCCCTTCTGCTTTTATTCTTTAACTATCCATAATTTAAAACAAAGTATATTTTTCATAGTTTTATGTATTTATTTGAAGTTTTAAGACATAGATGAGTAGAAAGCTTTCTGTTCCTTTAAATAAGTTTATTTATTTGCATTTTGCCTCATTATAGCTTTCAGTTTACTTTTTCTGTGAGTTAATGTTCTTAATGAAAAATAAGTTTCTCTATTTCCTGATTAAAACCCTAGAATATCTATTCAAATGAGGGATAAACTGGCCGTGTTAAGATAACAACTGACTGAGACATTTTTGGACATTTCGAGAAGTCCTGGATATTGAAGAACTTCTTCAAATAATAATTAGCTCTGTTTATTGAAAAGTTAATACCAAATCATTAAAGAATAAACAGCTTTTCTTTTTAAAAAGATATTAATTGCCAGATTTGAACAGTGCTGTTGATTGTCAACAATTGTTCTGCTAAAAAAAAAAAGTCACACCGAAGAGGCAAACCCTATAACTCTTACCACAGCAGTCAAAACTTTAAAATTAACTTTGCATTCTTCTAGTTGTGACTGCCCCCAGAATCGAGACTTTCTTTTGTGCCTGTCATATATTGTTGCATGTTTGATTATACTGCTTTATGATTAGCTTGTATAGATTTTTTTTTCCATTTTCCCTAGATTTTTCTCTGAGCCTTTTTCATATAGTCTTTAATTAGCAGTTCACCCCAATGTGGTAAATTGTATGCAGTTAACTCCTTTCATTCTAAAAGGTTTCTTTCACAAATGCAACCATGTTTTTGTACATGGTGGGAATTAACTCAGTACTCAGACGATAATTTGCAAAGATTCTTACATGAAACAGTAACTGTACTTTCTCTCTGTCTTTTTTTTTTTTTTATTCTGTAGGTCTTCCGACCCCGAACTCCACCCGAGGCGATTGCACTGTGTAGCCGTCTGCTGGAATATACACCAACTGCCCGACTGACACCACTGGAAGCTTGTGCACATTCATTTTTTGATGAATTACGGGACCCAAATGTCAAACTACCAAATGGGCGAGACACACCTGCACTCTTCAACTTCACCACTCAAGGTAACTCCTAACACTTAATCCTTTTACCATTTTCTGGGAAAGTTACACATGTGTAACTTTAATTTTCTATTAAATCTTTGCAAGGTAAAAGTAGGCATATTAAGTACTTATACACAAAGGGAGCATCCTATATAACCACTTACTAGGCTACCACACTTATATGGTTTTGAACAAAATAAAGGCAGATTAAATTTTTCAAATAGGCATAGCTTCTCTAATTTTTAGCAAGTTCTGATAAATCTTGGTACTGGAGAAGTTACAGAGATTTCACTGAGTAAGGTTTATCACTAATAAGATTGACGTACAATTTAATCTTCAGATTTATGTCTCGAATGTTAAAATTCCTTGCTTCTCAGGGATTTATATCAAGTTTTCTTAACCCGGAAATAAATTGGTGGCTATATTTGTGTAATTTTAGATGCCATACAGACAGAGAAAACTGGAGTCCTATAAAGCCCATCTTAGAACTTATATAAGGGATGTAGAAGAGAAATTTTCATCTCTCCTGAGCCTTGGCATCATTGCTACTGCTAAGAAAACACTGATAGGAAAACTGAGTTAGTGTATTGATGGTTTCTAAAAAGCCCAGGAATGGTCATTTTGCATTCATTCATCAGCCACACTGCTGCTGATGATGTCCTTCATAAACTGAACATTAAACGTGTCCAATTCCCTGTAGATAAAACAAGGAGTAAATAGATAGCTTGTTTTGATTAATTAGTCAAGCTAAAAATATAGAAGGGATAGAGAGCTTTCTGTGATCAGGAAATAGATATACTTTACTTTATTATAAAGCAAAAAAATTTCCCCCTTTTAAGCTTTTTTAAAACTGATTGTGGAAAAATACATTTCTTAAACTTTAGATTTGGAAGATGTGAGTTGCTAGTAGAATAGACTTGGATGATTCAGTTGACTATAGGATGATTCAGTTGACTATAATCTTAAACTGTCAGTATTATGTAGCTACTAGCAATGCTTATGTAATCTCATTCATCAAAGAAAAATCTTCAGGTTTCCTGCGACTATTAATTTTGACTTGGGCTGATCAGAAATCATTTGGAATGTTGTTTTAAGTCCTGACTGCCTCTCTAAGATGTTAATGAACACCAGGTAGAGTATACAAAGGAGCAGAATTAAATATAAAGCCTCGAAAGTGAAGATTTAAGGGACTCCTGAGAAAAATACCTCAAATAAAGGCCCCAGCCCCTGGCATAAAGAGAGACTAAATAAATATTTAGAAATCAGTAAAGACGTTTTCAACTGGTAATAGTGGAACACGGTGTTTTCAAAATACTGATCTGTATATCAGGGAAAAGCTGGATGATGTCAAATATTGTAGGTAAGATTATTCTTGTTTGGCAGAAGGTTTGACTGGGAGACTGTTGTTCTCTTCCACAGCAGAAATTCATTAATTCCGTGTCATAAAAATTTTAGACATCTTGAGAAAATAAATTTTACTTTTAATTCTTAACTACTTTTGCTTTAATCAAGAGTAATGCGTTTAGATGGAAGAAAATGTTAAAAGTGCAAAGGAAGCATAGAGAAAATTAAAATCACAGTCCCGAAAGGATTACTTTTAGCTTTCAAAGTAATCACTTATGATTTTATGGTGTAGCTCTTTTCTAATACTAATAACCCTTGAATATAAAGTGATCCTCTGTTTTCCCATTTAGAAGATCCCAAAAGGATTCTTTCTGTTAACTCAAATACATTTAAATTATATAAAGTTAATATTAGTTTGGGCTTCCCAGATGGCTCAGTGGTAAAGAATCCACCTGTCAGTGAAGGAGAGGCAAGAGATCCCTGGATCATGAAGATCCCCTGGAGAAGGAAATGGCAACCCACCGCAGTATTCTTGCCTGGAGAATCCATAAACAGAGGAGTCCATGGGTTTGGTCACAAAGAGTCAGCCTGAGCGCACACACAGTAGTTTAGGATTTTTTTTTACATCTCAAATTTTATAGAACAATATTTTTCAAACTCTATATGCATCTTTCACATCTGTGTCTTTGTAATCAGTAGAGCTACTTTTTGAACCATCTGTATAGTTTTTTAGGTTACATTACCTAAAGTTTTTGATATGAAGCTCTTTTTGAATCTACCTGAGACCACCATTGGAAATTCTACATCCATCTATTTACAGAAATGTGTCATATTATGCATAATATAATTATTTAATGGATTGCTTTATAAAGTAGTATCTAAAAGACTTTTGTTTTTAAATTTTGTTTATTTTTAATTGGAGGATATTTGCTTTACAATAGTGTGTTGGTTTCTGCCATACATCAGCATGAATCTGCCCTAGACATTCATATGTCCCCTCCCTCTTCAACTTCCCTCCCACCTCTCACCCCACCCCGCCTCTCTAGGTTGTCATAGAGCACTGGGTTTGAGCTCACTGCGTTTTATTTGCATACGGTGACATCCAGTAAAACTGTGGATCGTGGCATGAGAAGCTACTAAGTCAGTGCTAGATTTTTTTTTGCCTCTTTTTTTACCATTTCTGTCAGATAACTAAAGTTTCCCAAAGTTTAAAGGGAACCTTGATCTTTTTTTTCCCATGCTAAGGATTTCCTCCAGCAAGTACTTTGTTTCTCAAAATATACAAATCAAGACAGCCCCTTGTTAAGTAAACAACTTGGTAGAAACTCAGATGCATACCCATGATGCATCTTGTGATATTTATGATGTTATATTTTGGAGAATAATTCTCCTTAAATTGAGACATATTTTAATCCATACTCTTCAATGTGTGTGTGCACCTGTTTGTTGTGTTCATTGAAACTGAGATACTGCTTAAACCTTTTATTTGATTAGATTTTGAAAATCAAGATTGTTTCACTGTTCACGTACATCATTTCTGAAGTAATTACATTTGATTCTTTAGTCACTGGCTAATAACTTTCCATTATTACTAAAGAAAATAAAGTTTAAAACTAAGTTATTTTATGAATTTCTAAGCTTTTTTTTAAAACTGAGATAAAATTAATGTAGCATAGTAAGATAAACCATTTTACACTAAACAATCCAGTGATGTTTAATACATTCACAGTGTTGTACAGCCATCAGCTTTCTCAGATTCCACAACATTTTCATTGCTCCTGAAGAAAACTCCATGCCCATTAAGCATTCAGTCTCCACTGACTCCTTTTTTGACCCTTAGCAGCCACCAGTCTGCTTTCTGTCTCTGTGGATTTACCTCTTCTGGATATTTCATATAACGGAACCACATAATATGTGACCTTTTGTGTCTGGCTTCTTTCAGTTAGCATGTTTTCAGGGCTTATCCATGTTGTAGCATGTATCAGTATTTCATTCCCTTTTTATGGTGGAATAATATTTCATTATGGGGCTTCCCAGGTGGCTCAGTGGTAAAGAACTCACTTGCCAATGCAGGAGACATAGGTTTGATCCCTGGGTTGGGACGATCCCCTAGAAGGAAATGGCAACCCACTCCAGTATTCTTGCCTTGGGAAATCCCATGGACAGGAGCCTGGCGGGCTACAATCCCATGTGGTTGCAGAAGAGTCGAATACAGCTTAGTGACTAAGCAACAACAAATATAGTTTTCATTATATCATGTCTTAATCAGTTCAGGCAACTCTAACACCCATGAACTGGGTGACTAAATAACAAACATTTATTTCTCACAGTTCTGGAGGCTGGGAACATCAAGATCAAGATGCTGACATTCAGTATTTGATGAGGGCTGCTTCCTGGTTTGCAGACGGCTACTTTCTTGCTTATATGGTGGAGCGAGATCACCTCTCTTGTGTCTCTTCTTACTAATCCTTCTTACTAATCATAATTTCCTCCCAAAGGTTCCACCTCCAAATACTGTCACGTTGGAGATTTAGGGCTTCAGCATATGAAGTTTAGGGGGACACAAACATTCAGTCCATAGCATAGGGATATGCCACATTTTGTTTACCCATTCATCTGTTTATTGACATTTGGTTTGTCACTACCTTCCAGCTATTGTGAATAGTTCTGCTATGACTATTGTGTACAAGTATGAATTTGTTTGAATACGTGTTTTCAGTTTGGGAGGTATTACTGAATTATATGGTAATTCTCTATTTAATTTCTTGAGAAACTGCCAAACTATTTTGCATAATGACTTGCACATTTTACATTCCTTCTAGCAATGTTACAAGGGTTCCCGTTTATCTACATACTCACAAATACTTGTAACTTTAAAGCACTTTACTAATTAATAACAATTAATGGATGATCAGAGTAAGAGGTTACAGAAAGAGAACTAACTTTCCAGTTGGTTGTATAGCTAGAGAGAATAGAGGGATGATGGGTGTCATTAGTGAGTGTCCTGCTGTAGGTAGAATAAAACCCTTCTCTATCCTCAGCAAACTTTCAGTGAAGTCTGTACTACTTTCCCCAGATGAACTAAAGGTAGCCCCTGATCTACGTATACTAGGTGCTCAGTCTATGTTTGAGTGTTTGATACATGCCACTTTTAAGTATACACAGTATTTATTAACTCATTCAACCAGAACTTATTGGGCATTTCTAATTTTCCTTTTACTTGTTGGAACTGTAGTTTTAATTAGTAAAGCAAACCTACCATATGAACAAAACTACAAAGATCAAACACTTGAGTAAAATATAGTAAGTTGGTAGTGGTTTGGTCACTAAGTCATGTCCAACTCTTGCGAGTTCGTGGACTGTAGCCTGCCAGGCTCCTCTGTCCGTGGAATTCTCCAGGCAAGAATACTGGAATGGGTTGTCGTTTCCTTCTCCAGGGGATCTTCCTGACTCAGGAATCAAACCCAGGTCTGCATTGCAGGCAGATTCTTCACCAACTGAGCTACAAGGCAAGCCCCAAAATATAGTAGAGCTTATAGCTAACTACAATTTGATGTTTGTTACTGTGTCATGAGTAAATATCCATAAACTGTAATTAATATTACTTTCATATAATCAAAACAAGTGTTTCTGTAATCAACTAGAGGGAAAAGAGAGGTGAACGGATACCGGACAAA